AAATCAAAGACAGATTTGCCTGATATGGTACTTAATTTTTCCTCCTAAGTATTGTCCTGTACCTGCCAGCTTCCCTGTGATAGAAAAAAATATGTTCTCCTTAGGAAGATTGGTATAGGACTTTTATGTCAGGTGCTCAGAATGTCAGGGTCCCATTCTGCAACTTGAGTTGGGACTCTGAACTTCCTCAGCACTGTTGACATTAGGGAAGAATTATTTTCCTTGTTGGGGGCCTATCCTGTGCATTCCAGATGTCCTGTTAGCATCTCTGGTCTTGATACACTATGTGTCTACAGCCTTTACCTTCCAAGTTGTAATACCCAGTGTTTTCAGAGGATGCCAAATGTTTCCAAGGACACAACTTCCCTTTGAGGACTACTGAGTCAAATTAATGTGTTTGGCTCTCCGCTACTCACTTACTGCCTGACAGAAGATCACTTTCTTAAGTTTTCATCGCCATTTCTTTCTTCTGAAATTTGCAGGTATAAATTAAGTAACTGTTATTAAGACTAAATAAGACAGTGTTTTTACATTTTTTAGCCTGATTCTATACATTTGCCTTGTAAATAGTATTTGCTATTGCCACTGTCATTTCATTTATTTTTAGTTGTTATTATTGACATTGGTACTTTATCCTAACTCTTGCCAATGGAAAAAAATATATGCACAGACCTACAAAGGAACAATGCTTTCCCAAAGTTTCTTCACTATATTTGCACTTTAATGTACAGCAGAAAATTTTCAGCCACAACATCAGATTACTGCTCTCCCTAAGAAGACTTGTGCTATCTGTTCTCCAAAGCACAGATGCCCTAGATACATTACCTTATATATCTAAACATAGCATTGAAGCAAATACATTTTTCAGTTCCTTATTAGTGGATTATTTATATTAATTTTCTGGTATTCTTACCATCGCATATGGCATGAAAAATTGTAGTCAGCTTTTTATTTGATTCGAAACAAATTATGAGCAAAAGATTAATTTGCCAAAGAGGAAATCTAACCAGAAATATGTGGACAGAGATTCTACTATACTACAAATAAATGTATTCTTAAAATAAAAGGCCACTTTCCTTATTAAATTAGCAAAAGAATTGTTCACAAAGGTATAACAATGCTAGCAGCGACCCATATTATTTTCCAGCACTGAAATGGATACTTGCCTTTGGGATAGAAACTTGTTCATCGCTGTCTAGTCTTTTGAAGAGACCTGTTAGGGTGGTGCCTTGACCCCAAGCTGGCAGAGTGCAGGATGCTATGTCTGCACACATATAACACAAAGAACTTCAGTGCAGTGCACGTTCCTTTTTCATGATCTTTACATGCCAGAAAGGCCCTTCCTTTTGTATCTACTATCTTCTTAATTTCCGTGAAGCTCGTTAGACAAATGATTCCTTGGAATGTGTTATCCTAGCTGCCCATGTCACAACTCAAGAAAAAATGTCCTGTATATTCTTTTAATGCAAACTTGGGATGAACATAAGAAGACATCTTTGTTACTCCCTATCTTGGGCCCAGAGGGGACAATCTTGTTGAGACTGACCTGACCTACGGGATCTATTGCTGCTGCTCTGTGTCAACATAAAAAACATACTGGAGAGGAGGAAAGAAGGAGAGAAAAAGAAAAAAAAATGCCCCCAAAATTCTTTCAAGAGTTGGAACCTCAACAGCTGGTAATGTTTTCCTTGTAATTACAATCAAATGAATGGTGGGGTGCACATGAGTTAAGAGTTTCTGTTAAGAATACAGAAACACTAATGATTGTCCACTGCACTTGAATGCTTAGTGCAGCATTATTTATAATAATCAAATTATGGAAATATCAATTATGGAAACTAAGTGCCCAACAACAGCTGAGTAGATTAAGAAGCTGTGGTATATATACACAATGGAATACTATTTTGCTGCATAAAATATTAATTCTTCCCATCTGCAACAACAAGGGTGAATGCAAAATAAATCAGGAGAAAGAGAAACACAGGATGATTCTACACATACATGGAATATAAAGATGTCAAACCAAGGAGTAAAAAGTAATGATTAAAAAAATTTAGAAATTTGACCTTAAAGTTGAAGATACCAGCAGGGGAAGGCAATGGTGGAACTCAGTGTTTTGGTGGTAGGTGTGGTTGTGTAACAGTTATCTAACTAGATGTATATCATTTGGGTGCTCAAATCATCTACAGTGTTGTAAACCATTGTTATTTCTCTAAAATAAAACAATTAAATAAGTTTTACTCATAAATTCTGCTGATAAACTCTTAACACTAATCACTTTATCTACCCATCTGCACAATAAGAGAATTGAATGAACTTTAACATAAGTTTTTAACTGTTCAAGGTTAGATGCCTAGGGGGGACATGCGCTCTTGATAAAAAGCCATCCTAAAAACATCCCCAAAAACCAAATCTCAAAAATATTTACTTTTTTTAAAAAAATTATTTATTTATACATACAGAACTGAGATTCAGGACAGAGTTGCAGGGGCAGTGAGAGGATTCACCTGAGACAGAGTGGGGAGCAGAACAGGATGACTGACAAAGTACACTGCTGAGGGGAGCAGCAGGCAGGTCAGGAGGGGTCTGCTGTGCCATGTGGGTCACCTCCGGGGCTAGGGATCTAATTCACACTGAAGCAGCTGTGGCCAAGCTTGTAGTGCTGTGCTTTGATTCTCTGAGCCACCAGGGAGGGCACAAGATTTCATTTATTTTTTTTTTAAGATTTATTTATTTATACATACAGAACTGGGGTACAGGCCAGAGGTGCAGGGGTGGTAAGAGGATTCACCAGAGACAGAGTGGGGAGCAGGACAGGCTGACTGACAAAATACACTGCTGAGGGGAGCAGCAGGCAGGTCAGAATTCTGCCGCACCATGTGGATCACTTCCGGGGCTGGTGGGAATCAAACTCATGCTGAAGTGGCTTTAGATTCTTAGTGCTGTGCCACTAGGGAGGACCCCAAAATATTTACTCTTTATGTTGACCAACACCTGAGTATATGCTCCGTCTTCCCCTTGTTAGAGCACTCACTAAAAGGGCTTAAAACTATAAGCTTTCCTTTGTCACTGTAAGAAGTATAACCATTGCCTACAATTCAAAAACATCTTTCTCTAGGACCTGAAAGCCTTCAACATGCAATCATTAAGTTATCCATCTCCAGGTCACTACAGAATTCTATATTTATCAATTGCTAGCTAATACACACAGCTGTCTTAATTGCATTTATAGGAACCAGCTCATCATTTTTCACTTCCCTATCTGTCAAGCTCCAGATTTCCTCCCTTCCTACTCTTTTTCCCTTTAAAACACCCATTTACACTATATTCCTCTTGTAAGTGTGTAGAGGAACCAAACAAGGAATTAGGAAAAAAAAAAACTATGATAAAGTAAAAATATAAATCAGCGGGCAAATAGATCAGAGATATTCTGAAGGGGAGGAGGAGGGAGAAGGGCCAGGATAAGGGTAGGAAGAGCACAGGAACTATGGTGATGGTGCATTGGTGAATGGGTGGTGGGAATTTCATGGGGAAACCATACCTTGTGTAAAAACGAAGGGTGATGTAATGAATATATTTTTAAAAAGTAAAAAACAAACAAACAAACAACAACAGCAACAAAAAAAAAAAAACACCCAGTTACCTCTGCACACACTGAAGTTGAGTTCAATCTTCATTGGACCTTATTCTTTATTCTTCAATACAGTAGTATAATGTTGACTAATAACTAGTGGCTGACTTTATCGTTGATAGGTGCAATTGCTAAGAAAGTGACACCCGCTATCACAGCAGGGGTTTTAGTATGTAGAATAACTTCCCCTAGAAATCACTAGCAAAAGCATTCTGTTTCAGAAATGAGCATTCCTTACACATAGTCACGAATAAAAGTTTAACTAAACTTTGCTGGGAAGCAATTCTGATTTATGAATCCCACAATAAACATCTAAGTACATCTGTTGTGTACAACATAATGGCGACTTCTGGGTAATGATTTCTTAGAATCACAAATGATATATAAATTCCCAGTGATTTATGCATTTGGAGGGGTATGAATATGTCCTGGGTGATTGCCTATTATGCTCAAATACTAGGTTTATACGTGGCCTTTGTTTTTTAGTTTTGTGCCTCTGAATCTGGAAGTGCAATCTTCTGTAGGGGAAAAGAGCTGCTACGCTAAGAGAATATTTCAGAATGTCTTAGATAGTATTTGCTTGCCTTTAATTTAGTGTTTTGAAATATATTTCAGAGATGATTAAAATTACTTTTAGAGAGAATTTTGGAGTTGGAGAGTTTGCGTTAACTTTGATTTTGTTGTCTGTGTGAGGATGGTGTCAGGGAGCCTGGGACCATGAGCAAGGCTCCTTCAGCTGTCTCACATTCCTCATCTTGGAGCTTCTGAACACACTAGGCAATCGGGATTTCATGGCTTTATTATTTCTGGGGTTTTTTGTTTTTGTTTTCTCTCTCTCTTTTTGTCCTTAGCTTTTTGGCTATCTGATGAAATATCAGGTTTATTTTTTAAAATCCAGTTCAGGCCTGACGTTATTTTGAGCAGGCAGCATACCTACCCAACACAATTCCCACTAGTCTTCGCTGCAATGTCAAATAGCTCAGTCCACATACTGCCACTGGTTCTGGTATTTGCATTTTAGACTACACATGAGTTCCCACACAGAGGGGAACATGACATCCCTGGTATCTAGCACAATTTCTGACATCAAGTCAGGAGTCAGTAAGTGTTTATTTTACAAACAACTGAAGCTCTTTTTATGCCAGAGGTTAATTTATATAGCAGATTGTCATCGTGAACTGAGACTGAATTTTTCTCGTTCTTCAGCACACGTGCACATACACATCCATGGAACTGCAAGATGATGTAAGCACAACACTACAAAGACTTGAAAAAAGCTAAACAAGTCTGGTCACAGGCTCCCCAAACTGCTCTGAACTGAAAGCATTGAGGTGAGCTGCGGGAGAAGAGACACAGACATGTAACTTACATTCTGCAGATGGACATGATTCTTCATCAAGCTCTCTGACTTTGCCATTGCACTGGATGATTTAAGACTGTAGTTTTTACCATTTTGTGGCTCTTTCAGCTGCTCTTGGATTTGTTTAGCTTGTTTCCTGTAGGTTTAAACAAATGTGTCAATGCATAAATTTATTCTATTCATATTTTTGGAGGCTCATTCATATCCAATGTCTATATTTGTCATTTGTTAAAGCTTATACCCTCGCTTAACGAAGAGAAACATTTTCTCATTTCAACCCCACCAAGAAATGCTTTCAATTTAAAGAGAACCTGGTATACTGTAGGGTTTAATACCAATACAGACTACCACCATGCAGGAAGTAATACCTAATGGCACTTCAAAGGCAGGCAGAAGCATAATGCATTGTCTTAATCCCTGAATACAAGAGGCTGTAACGTTGTGTACTCAGCTGCAAAAAGCTGAAAATGTTCTGAAGAAATGGAGGGTGCTCCCTGGAGGTGCAGTGGGTTATAACACAGCACTAAGAAGCTAAAGCCACTTCAGCATGAGTTTGATCCCCTCTCCAGAGGTGACTCACATGGCATGGCAGACTACTCCTGACCTGCTCGCTGCTCCACTCAGCAGTGTACTTCATCAATCTGCCTGTTCTGCTCCCCGCTCTATCTCTGGTGAATCCTCTAACTGCCCCTGCACCTCTGGCCTATACCCCAGTTCTGTATGCACAATGGAAAAAATTCAAGTAAACTATTAAAGAGTAGCTACTATGTGCCAAGCATCACTTTAAGTATTTCACATGTATCAATTAATTTATTTATCCTTTTTAAAGATTTATTTATTTATGCATACAAGAACTGGGATATAGGCCAGAGTTGCAGGGATGACAGGATTCACCAGACAGAGTGGGGAGCAGAACAGGCAGATTGATGAAGTACACTGCTGAGGGGAACAGCAGGTGAGAAAGGAGAGGTCTCCCATGCCATGTGAGTTGGCACCTTTGCTGGGGATCGAACTCATGATGCAGAGGCAGCCTATAGCTTCATAGTTGTGAGACTTAACCCTTTGTGCCACCAGGGAGGCCCCTCAACACATTTATTTTTCACAACAATCTGTATGATGAGGCCACAATGGTGTACTCCTCTCATAGATGAGAAAAAGGAGGCACGATATTGTTAAGTAATTTTCCCAGAGCCATGTAATTAGTAAATGGTTGGTTTAAATTTGAATTGCTTGCAGATTAAGGCCTTTCAACAACCACACAGGATGGTCAATTCACTGGCCTCTCCTTCTACAGCTTTTCAGTTGAGGTTTATTTAGACCCTAAGTAGTGTGTATGTGGTATGTGGGGTGAGTGTTGTAAGGGTCATTCAGTGGCTGAGTAGAAGTTTGAAATAAATGAGGCTTTCTCCCAAGAGTCTCACAACAACCATTTATCAGCAGAAAACTGAGTACCACCCATAAAGAAAGCTTTGCAGACTCACTCTCTATCCAACCACCTAATCTTTTGCTTCTTCCCCAAGGTCCCTGTCAAAGATGGAGGAGAATGTGATTTCTTGCAGTGAGTTTCTCCTGGAAGGCATTACTGTACAGAGTGAAGACTCCAGTATGGGGGGGCTGGGATTTGAAACCCTGCTCTACTGACCCTCAGCGTTGTTTTGATGTTCTAAATCAAAAAAATTGATTTTCTAAACTTCTCAGAGCCCCTGTTTTTCTATCTGGGGTTTATAAAAGCAATTTGACATGGAGAGTGAGGAAATTAAGGGAAAGCACATGTGAAGGGTTGATCTCCTTTCTTCCTCATTTAGCAAGCTCAGTTATATGAGCAGATGCTACAGAGGAATTAAAATATTGGCCCAAAGATAAAAGAAATGATCATATTAATTGCAACATTCACAAGAAAGTCACAGTATTTGCAACAGGATTTGGAGGATCTGAGCATCATTGCCTCTTTTGAATTTACAACACCAATGTAATGTAATTGTTTAAATATTTCTTTTATCTTTTCAATTACTTGGGGAACTTTTATCTCCAGTAGTCTTTGTTACTTTAATCCAGTTGTAATGGTCTAGCTACTTCCTAACAGCTAATCTGCAGCCTATTGTGAAAAATAAATCTATCATATCAGCATGTTAAGAGGCACATTGCAGCCACAAAATCCTATCAAGAACTCACTGATAAAGCAAATGGGAGATCAGGAGGGTCTCTTGGTAAATCACCATGAAGAAGTAAAAGGTTTGACATACAGGAAACACCCAATTACTTTTAAGAATTAAATAGTAGAAATACTAATTATTTAGTAATTCTAAAATTCAATGTCTGAGAAACATAAAATTTTAAAGAGTGTCTGTGTTTCCAGAAACCTGTAATAGTTTGCCTTCCTTTATTCTCTTTGCACTCCAGTCACTAATTTTCCAGGATAAATGGACTTTCTCTCTGAGTTTGCCTCCTTCTCTCTCATGCCTCTTGTCTCACAAGCACTTAAAATATAGTGAGCTCTTTCCTCCTTCCCCCAGCAAATGGGAACAAAGGCCATGCACATCGGATTTCAGGACACACCATTAGATCTCTGCAGAGAGCATTGTCAACATTGGATAGTGCACTGAGGTTTAAGTTTAATCGGCCTAATTCATCCAAACAAAATAAGACGTTAAATTGTGGAACTTCAAAGGTCATGAGTCTGTGGGTAGACATTTGTTATGTTTCAGGTTGGGTTCTGGGGAAGCAGTCACTGAGAGGGAAGTAGAATGAGGAATTTTATTAGTGATGACTTTTGGGATCAACATTTGTGGAAGTAAAAGACAACAGAGGTGGTCAGAGGGCGAAACTGGAATGTGATGCTGTCCCAGTAAAGATCTCAGCAACACCCCTGAGGACTCTGAAATTGACATGGCCTCACTCAAGTTGGGGTAAAAGTCTAGGTCTTCAGAACCCTACACTGACCTGTCATCCTATGAGTGCTATGCCAGGCCACAGCATGTGCTTGAGAAAGCTCTATCACAACTGTGTAATAGCAACTGGGAGACTAAGAGCTTTTCTGCAGAAGAAAATAGTAACAGCATGCTGCCTGTCCTTGAGAGAGTTTCTTTGTGATGTAAAATCTCTTGCTTTAGACAGTGATAACCACCATGCAGGGAAGGTTGCCTCCATGTCTTCCTTTACTGATGGCGTCAATTCTACCTTCTTCTCTGCTTTCCCTGTTGTGATAATTATCAGTCTTGCTGCCTCCTGGTGTATCTCCTCTCCTATCACAATTCATTTTCAGAATTGAATCATGGCTTGCATTTTCAGTCTATTAAGAACTTCTTCAGTCATGCTCAGACTTCATAACCAGATCAGTTGAAAGCAAAAAGAAAACCTAGAAGAATTTATAGTTACCATGTGAGCCATATCAATCAGATATGAAAGGTTCAATCAATAGTTTTATTACTACTTATGGGAATATATGGGTTTATTAAGAGTAACGAGAAAATTTCTTTTATTGTATCCTTTAAAGCTGCTGGAGGTTCAATTTACTCAGAATATTCTCTAAATTCAAGAAATATTGCTCACTTCTATCTCATCTTATTACTTCAAACTCTTATCAACTAATTATTTGCTCTAATACTCCTTTGGTGAAGTCAAGGTGACAACAGAATGAACAAAGAACCAGAATGGCAGAATCTGAGGGGCTGTGGGAGGCAAAAAACAAATAACCAAACAAATATGAGTTTTGGGATTAAGTCATAATTGTTTCCAGGCAGAAACTATACATACCAGTAGATAGAACCTATTTTTCCTTTTAAGAATTACTAATGTATGCACGCAAGAGCTGTGGTGGAGGCCTGAGGTGCAGAGAAGGTTAGAGGATTCACCAAAGACAGAGTGGGGAGCAGATATGCTGAGGGGAGACATGAAAGGTCTGCCACATCATGTGGGTCAGCTCCCTGGCAGGGGATCTAACTTGTGCTGCAATGGCTGAGGTTATCTTCACAGTGCTGGGACTTAACCACATGTGCCATAGGGGAGTCCCAGGACTGAAGTTTTTATGGTGTGTATGATATGAAAACTAAGATATACCTATTCACCTTCACAGTGCTGTGCTTCAACCTGCTAAGCTACCTGGGAGGGGTGATTGTTCATTTTCTTATTGCTTAATTACATTAAAATTTCCTTATTTATTCACATTTTAACAAAAATATATGCCAGTTGGTCAGGCATAAGACAACATCCTGATAAGTCCTCCTCTACTGGCTGAGTTCTCTGGCCTCCTGCCACAAATGTGACAATGAGCCATGTTCCACTAAGCCTGCTGATACCTCGAGAGCCCCAAGAGGAGACATATCTCTCAGAGCCCACTTACTACCCAGGGAAGGAGAGATTGATAGCCCTGAAGACTCAAATCCTCTAACTATCCAGCTGCTCACATTCTTGTATTTGTTGCAAACATTCATTCCTTTAAATGTGGTACAACTACAAGTTACACTCTAAAAATAGGTGATTAACTACTTCCTCATAGTAATTTGCTTATTGTTAAGTATATAATTTCTTTCTTATACATGGCACTTGTGAGGAGGCCCTTAAACACCCTGCCTGCCGAGGGTGATTACCCCTCCTATGCTCCAGGGCATACGCTTTGCTTTGCAGTGCCTCAGCCTCCGTGTTCCAGTGTGGAAAGCTAAATGCAAATAATAGCCAACCTTTGCTGAGAAGTTACTCTTGTAAACACTATGCCTTGCTTCCATTGAATTGTTAACAAATCCTGTGAGGTACGTATTTTTAGTCATAATTACCAGAAAGGAAACAGGTAAAGAGGTTGGATATGATTTGCTTCATTATATAAAGCAAATAAGTGGCAACTTAATAATTTGAAAATGGATATGGCTAGTGCATGTGAAACCCTGACAACGGGCCCTGTGGCCTCCCTGTAGAACACAATGTCCCTTGGGCTGCACCCAGCAGGCTGTCCTGACTCTCCAGGCAGTGTCCCCACACCACAGGAGCACTGTCTGTGCCCATATACTACAGTGGCGGGTGCACATTTCAACGTCAATGTTTTAACATTTTTAAACAAATACTGATATTATTTAAAATATACAGCCATAGTGCACAATGTATTTGTGGTGACGTTTGTAAGATAATATATGAAAAGTCCAATTTCCTGACAAAGATTAAGTGTTGAAAATCTGGACATTAACAACTGTCACAACCAACAGTTGCCTAGGAGATGTGACAATCAAATGCAATGTGGTATCTTGGATGAAAACAACACACTAGGTAAGGATTAAGAAAATCTGAAGACATGAATTTGGATTAGTAATACTATAGCAACAGATTTTCATTAATTGTGACAAGTGAAATGTAATAATATGAGACATTAATTATAGAAGAAAGTGGGTGCAGGGTATAGGGGATTTTTCTGTTTTAATTTCACAGTCATCCAAAAATATGAACCTATTTTGAAATAATGTATTAAATATAAAGGTTGCTAATTCTAGATCTAAGTCCCAGTAGCCATTATTTTTTTTAGATCATAATTGCTGTCCATTTTAAAGATCAACATACATGATATGCAGACAGGGATCACAGGCCATATCTGGAAATCGATCCATTTTTAGAAGAGCAAAGAAATAGAAAAATATAGGTCTGGTGAAAAGCAATTTTACATTGGCTTGGATTTCAGACAAGCTGTAGGAACAGAATCTGTGCTACTTTCTTAAGATATGCATGCCTTACAAGAAATGTAGGGATTTCATGTTTTTAGCTCCATTTTTCACTTTAAGTGTGGGTTATGTCATTTCCATAAATAAAATATCTCTGTCAGCCTTCATATGGAGCATATGTGTGTATGTGTATAGTAGGTACATACATATTTTTATTAGTTAAAAATAAATACCTTTGTCTGCAGGTCTGTTTTCTTAGCAAAGGAAGGGTAAGACATAGTTGAGATGTGCATACTAACTGATAAAACACAATATTTTTCAGAGTATTTTATTTCATGTTTGGAAAAATCCTTTATTAGGTAAAAAACTTACGAAAGGAAAACTGTGATTTATTTTGATTTATCAGAAAAGGCTAGAAATGATTAACATTTTGGTTTCCAGCAGTGACCCTTCTATTCAGAAGAAATAACCCCTTATGATAGGCAGACACCACTAAGACTTTAATTTAGACAATTAACCTAAAAGTACAAAGTGAAGAGGATATTCATGATCATAGAGTGGAACAATCACCCTGGGCATCAAAGATAAACCCCCTCACATACACACACACACACGCATACACAACACATTCACACATTTGCTGTACACCCTCACCACAGTCTAAAAAGATTCCAACTCATCTGTGGATGTTTGATGAACCCATTTACACAAGATGCCACTGCTTGAAGCAGACTGAGAATTTAAGAAAGACAAAGTACTCCCTCTGAGAAGTAACCTTTTAACACTAGAGAGAAATGGTCTTACTTGCTTTTGAAGTAGAACGCTGCACAGAACATGCCCACGATGACAATTCCAAAGATGATACATGAAATTGACAGCACCTGCCTTTGATACACTTCTTCACTCTCTGTGAATTTGAAAAACAGAATTAGAATGGATGTTAGAGCAGGGCATAGCAGAGACAACCTTCATCCTTGTACTTCTGAACTGGTGGGTTCTTTCAAAACATTTTTGTTCCTATCATGATAGAAAAACATGAGTAAGTCATAATTTAATTTCCTTTTAATGGTCTATAGGATAGCTGTTGTTTTTTGTATTTATATAGATAAACCAGAAATCATATACTGATAATACAATTCTGATTCCTATTATAAAAAGATATTCTATGACTTTGAACATACTGGGAACATTGGAGAAAAAACAAAAGTATGTGTTCATTGGAACTTTTTTGTGCCAGTGATGATTTCCAACTTGCTTTATGTAATATAAATGCCATTGTGTTTTTTTATTTGGTCCTTGGCTGCCAGTGCCCCATTCATCTACCTGCTATATGACTGACATCACTAATGAAAGAACTTGAATGTGCTCGTGAATATTTTACTCACGGATTATATGACTTTTTCCGGGTCAGTGATCTGGCATTGAAATCACTACTTGTATTACCAATGTTATACCCTATAGCTTATTACAAAAACCAAAATTTCAAAAACAACCATTTCACTTTTCAGCCACTTCTCAGCTCATTTTCTACAGTATGTCTACTGAAACAGTTCTTTAGCTTATCAAAATAATTTTTTTTCCTATATGCCCAGACTTTTCTCTTACTTATCTTTCTTGTTTCTCCTTTATGCACAGCACAGAGACCATGATCCATGATTACAAACATTCATTACTTTGTAAATACCCTCAACTATTGTATCCCTTTTCCCTCCCTTTTATCCATTTGGTAAAATAGCTGTGTACGAATCCAAGAAACTGCCTTCTTCATGATTCTAATTTGAGAAGCTCAGAACTAGAAGAGACGTAACATAACTGGGATGACAGATGCCAATAAAGGTTGGCAATCACATGGTTAAGTCAACATGTAATAGTGACTAATAATCTCATCAACCTGCTTCTACATTTTCCCCATTATTTATCCACACTTTCTCCACACATCTGACTTCTCTTCCTCCCTTACTCTCAGATTTCCGTAGAGGTTATGCAGGACAGGAAGTCAGCATAGAAGAAATCATCTCCATTTTTATATACACAAATGTATACAACATTAATCGCATCTGTGTCTACTCTTGTATTACTACAAAGCAGTAGTTATCAAATATTAGTGTGCATTCGAGTCACCTGAAGAATTATCTAAGTACACGCTGTCACCTACTTTCCCCCCACCGAGGTTATTGACTTAGTAGGTCTCAAGTTGGGACAGAACTAATCCATAGTAAGGGAAAGCATTCAAATGGATATATGGTGTCAGAATTGGGTATGATGGAGGAAACTTTTAGGAGTTACAGACATGTACATTGTCTGAAATATGAATGATAACTTCTTGGCTGAATATGTCAATATGTATGGAATAGTAAATTTTAAGTGGTTTATTTTATGTAATTTATAGTTGTAAAAATATTAATCCTGGCCCTCCCTGGTGGCGCAACGGGTTAAAGCACTGCACTGAAAAGTTAAAGCCACTTCCACATGAGTTCGATTCCCGCCTGCCCCGGAGGTGACCACATGGTGTGGCAGACCTCTCCTGGCCCACCCGCTGCTCCCCTCAGCAGTGTACTTCATAGATCTGCCTGTTCCGCTCCTCACTCTGTCTCTGGTGAAGCCTCTCACCGCCTCTGAGCCTCTAGCCTATATCCCAGTTCTGTATGTACAAATAAATAAATCTTTAAACGAAAATATTAATCCTGGAAAGTAAAGGAATATAGGGCACACACAGAGAATATACAGACTATAAACTAGCACATAGCCTCTTATCTTCTGCCTTTCTTTTATGATTATGCTCCCAAAGACATTCTCCATGTAGCAGGCAATATAAACTTTTTAATACAAAGATTAAATCATACACATGCTTGTATATGTACATGAATGAATACATACAAATAGATCTAGATTTAGGTATGCCTCTTTAAAAGCCTCTTATTGCTTCTCTATTAAACTTATAAAAACATCTCAACTCTTAATATGATCTAAAAGGACATGCCTAATATGATACCATTCACCTGGACTAACCATTCTTCTTCTTTTTTTAAAACATACCTAACTTTTAAGACCTCAGTACCTTGATAAATGCTATTCTCTTTCTCTTCCTAGAATATTGTTCCTATATTTGTATTTTAAATGCTTGCTCATAATTTTGATTTGAAATTAAATATCACCAGCTAAAAATGTCCTGTTCTTCACTGCAAACATCATTGGCACAGGGGCCACGTTCTTTTGTTGATTTGTTCATTTGACTCACTATTGTTTCCCCAGCACCTAGAATAGACTTCCCACATAATTGATACACAAAGGCTGGTTGCCTAGTGAATAAATATCTATCTCTGGCTGTATCACAATTTTCTGCTTTAAGCTGTGTATGATACATCAAATCTCACCCCGGGATGCTCTTAAGGTTTAACACTTCTTCTTTATTCACAACACGTTTCTCCCAGGCTTTAAATAAATTCTCCTTGCCTGACTTGACTACCTGCAATTGACCCCATGCATTCTTGAATTCCTCCCCTGACACCTGTCACGGAGGCTTTTTCTTCTACACCTGCCTCCTCACTGTGAATTTGCACTCACAACATCCTTTATAGAGGGCAAAGGGTCACAGGAAAATTATTCTCTAACCTCAGAAAAATGTATGAAGAGGCAGATGCCTTCACTGCTCATCTTCTCTCCACATCATCCTGTCTTCCTTGGTGATATGCAGAATGTTGGGGTTGACTCTAGGAAGATATCTGCAGATTGGATTTGTCCTGTGTTCTCAATGCCCTGCATGTCTGTGCCAGTGCAGATAGTTCTGTGTTCTGCCCCAGCTCACTCAGTTCACTGATGCCATCCATGGTCAGAAAACCAGGCTAAATGTTGGCTCACAGACACAGAATTCTCCATCTAAGTCTTTCTGGGTGCTGCCACAATATTCCATCAGCTTCTAAGTCACTGGAAATGAGCCCATGACTTACAGTGTTCCTGTACCTGCAGACACAGTTGGACTACTCCCTTTTTAACTAGGCAAATTAGTATCAGACACAATAGACTTTGATGAAGACCTATATATACAGAGCCTGAATTCTGGGACCTATTTTCTTTCCTGAGACTATGTACTGAATTGGCTCCTTAAATAGGATCACTCATTTTCTAGTTCCATTTTCCTGTGGAAATGTTTTGGAAACAATGTTTTATAGGAACTATGCTCTCTTCCCTTTCTTCCTGTGCTTTATTTTCATCTTCAATATCATCATTCAGACTAAAGTACTGGAAAACAGAAAGTAAATCTAAAAGTGATATCACGTTATTCATATTGTTGAATAAATGGAGACCAGCAATCATGTGACCCCAGAAAGTTTTAGTTCACATTTACATTTAGAAAGATGCAAATCAAAGAAATAAAACATGTATCATTGAGAAATTTTTTAGCCACATTATCATTTTAAATAATGTCATCCTTTCCACCCCCATGTTTGCAAGCTCATTAAAATTTCCATCAGAACTTGGAAACAATTAAGTAGCTATACCAATTATGAGGAATGGAATCATTCCTCTCAATTCCTGTGAGTTGATGATTATAATTTAATAAGCATGACTTGCCGATTATAATATACCCCACCCAGTCTCTACAGCATAAAGAATTATGAAAATGATGGATAAAACATCTATTAAAACATAAATAAGGCCTTCCCTGGTGGCGCAGCGGGTTAAAGCACAGCACTAAGAAGCTTAAGCCAATTCCGCATGAGTTCGAACCCCAGCCCTGGAAGAGGCCCGCATGGTACTGCCGCCCTCCCCCCCCCCCCCCACTCCTCCCCTCAGCAGTGTACTTCGTCCATCTGCCTGTTCTGCTTCCCACTCTGTTCCTGGTGAATCCTCTCACCCTCCACATCTCTGGCCTGTACCCCAGTTCTGTAAGAATAAATAAATAAATCTTTAAAAAAAAATAAATAAAACTATATCCTCTAAACAGAATTATTTCCACATAAAATCTATTTGGTGTTTTGTTCTTATTTGAAGCTAGTCAAATACAGCCTGGGGAAATTTACAAAATCAATGCTGAGTTTAAATCAAGAGTGAAATTAAAACTTTAAAGACTGTGTGAATTTTTAGAGCTAGGGCTAGCAACAATGATGGTACTATCAATGCCTTGATTCATAGGGTGTCACATAAGAACTAGAACGACAAGGTGTAGAAACCAAGGCTTGGAAATCTGGCAATTATAGATTTGACTTTAATTTTAGCTATTTTTAACATGAATGACCATAGATATATTACTTTTCCTTTACAAACTTCAATTTCCTGTCTGAATAAAGGGAATCTGAGAAAGGCCAACTGTAATATATTATAACAAGGAGTTTGATAATTCTACAAAAGCATTTAATACAGAAACCTGGTTTACTCAGAGAGACCAGAGATCAGAGACCTGAGTATAAGTTCAGACAAGAGGAATAAGAACAGGAAGAGTGGTATAGGAAAAGAAAATGATTTTTGTAAAGGTCTTGTGTTAGGGGATAAAATTTCATGTTCAAGACTCTGGGAGGTATCTTCTACTGAAGGGCATCTGCATACCTGGTTTACTTGTCTTTAGCAGCTTAGCAGAGCAAAATAGAGGTGCAGGTGACATGCTTTACAATGAACATGTCATTACCAAAGCAAGAACGTACTGAAGGATTTGAATTGTGAGGAATGTGATGTGGTATTTATATTTCTTTGCAAGAAGGGAAAAAGATTAGAAGGACAAGGTAGATACAGCGTTCAAGTTTGAGAATATGACATATCAGGAAAGTCATGATACATGTTTGTACGACAGTAGTGATAACCATAGTAGAGAGTAAGAGATGGAAATGAAATGTAGTTAGGCTGAAATACTTTAGGACTAGATGAAGATGCTATTATTAACTAAGAACACAGTGGAGGAGGATTCAGCTTGGA